TTTTGTTTTTACCTCCATTTCTTTGAGAAAAATTTTCATTTCCTCTTTGGGGCCTCAAACATTCTCCTAAAGTTATTTTTAAGTCATTTTCTAGGTAATTTTCTTTTGTTTCATCTATGTTTTGGTGTTAAAGTCTTGGTGTTATAGAATCACTAGTTTTTATTGGTGTCATATTGCTCTTTGTGGTGTTCAGTAAATTCTTATTTTTTCTACCTAGCCTTTCCTATGATTGTTGTAGTTGTGGCTGTGTCTCTGGTGAGCACTCATCCAGACGTCAATGGATCTCAAGGCTCAGATGGTTGCTCCTTGTGGGGAAGTCAGGGCTATGAACTCTGGAGGTCACATGGTGTTTGCAGTAGGTGCTCAGTGCTCCAGGAGAGCATTCAGTAATCCTGGTGGTCAGGGCTGTTACCACTAAGGTTGCTCACTTAGGTCCTCTCGTGTAGAGTTCAATGGCTCGAGCATCCTCCTACAAAGGTCACTGGCTTGAGCGTGCTCTGCAGGAGGTTGCTGGATTGGGCTTGCTCTTGTGGAGGTCACTTAATATAAGTTCTTAAAATTATTTTAAATGCCATATTCCACAGGTCTTTGAAGAGTTGAAAATTATATATCTAATTGAAATATATCTTGTATATTTAGAAGACCTAACTAACATGAATAAAAGTTTTATTGTTATAGATGGTTATTCATTCAACTTTATTTCCTAGTTATACATTACATTTTAAAAAGAGCTGTATAAATATAATACTGTAAACAAGTATAGGAATAGATATATTACAAAGTTGATATCTAATTTGTATCAATAAACCAAAGTATATACCAATGTAAAGAATTCATTTCTATATGATATCACCTTTTAAATGAAAACGAACATGTATAACCAAACATTTTGCTAATTTAGGCATAGTTTTCTTAGTGCTTTGGAAATCAGTATGGAGGATCTTTTCTAATGGTCTATCTTCATAAATACAAGGTTCAGAGCAAAGTATTGACAGCTGTATTAAAGAAAGGACAAGTTACCTATATGGCCTGTTCTATTAAAATAAGATAAAGTTACTTGGCAGAAAGCTTCAAAGCCAGGAAAGGTCTTTGTTTCCAACACATGAATTTCTGAGCCTGAACAGTGCCCATGGAATATATTACATTGAATACAGAAATTTTCTTGGCCATGAACAGTGTGTAGGTTGTGAGATTGTGGTTTATAATACCAATAAGCATTACTGAGCATGGCTATGAGATGATGTTTATTTTATGTTACTCAGGAAAGCAATGCAGCATATAATTACTTCCTCCGAAAGACTATTGAGGATGAGATATCCTGTTTTACATGTTTAAAGCTATAAAACAGGTATGAGGATTATACATTTTTACATGTCTAGGAAAGGTTTATTTGCTACATTATGTGGATCACTGAGTTTAGTTAATACAATTATATAGTAACTCCTTTTTTGTTTCATAGTACTATTATTATCACTGTGAGAGTGCTTAGAGTAGACCTAGAGGCTTGTTATGAAAAATAAGTTTCTACCACCGAGTCATATCCAGACCCTCTTTTGAGACATATTTTATAGATAGACACAGAAATATCAATATGTTAATATAAATGTATAAGCCCTGAAAGATACAATTTTGGTATATAGATTCATTAGTAAGAAACAGAAAAATCTGGATTTAAATTCAAATTGTTGGAGTGCATATTCCTTTTTTCTAAAAGTTTTGCTCCAAAACATTTTACTTTTTTGTAGAGTGTTTATCTAATAGTTACTGATGCAATTGCAATACTCATAGATAATTACTCAAAATGACAAGTGAGTATGTCCCTGATTTTTTTCTTGCTGTTTTATGCATATCATAATGAGTAGAATTCTGAAGGGAACTACCCAATACCCTGATCAGGGAATTGGGTGTTTCTGTTGGGAAATTACAAAGTAAGTAGGTACTGAGTCTCAAAAGGAAGAGTGTTTACATCTATGCTACATGATATAAACACAGGTTCTGTTATTTCTACCCTTAAGTTAGAAACTCACTCAACCTGGTAGATGTCATCAGGAGAGAATAACTGTCTATACTTCTCTGATGGCCATTCTTGGCTGTCAGCTTGACTATAACTGGAATTGGGTATAATCCAGAAATTGAGGATACATTTATGATCCAGATCTTGATGCAGGAAGATGCCTTTAATGTAGATATTGAGGCTGGAACCCATACCTTTAATCTGGGTAACAACATTTACTAGAAGCTTATATTAGGACAATTTTAAGAAGAAAGGGTTTGTTCTTCCTCTGCTTGTACTCACCTCATCAGTACATCCATTCCTTCTTTAGGATTCTGCAGACTAGCTGAGACAAATAACCTTGTCTGATTGAGCAGCTACTATATAATTGTACTTTGTGCAGTCAACTACAACCTGTAAGTCATTCTAATAAATTGTGTTTAAATTTCATATAAATATTTATATATTACATATAGCATTGTATTCATAATTTATTATATATTATAATATTATATATATTATGTTTATTTCATAATTGCCTAAGTGTTGTGACAATAAGGAACACTAACTAGGGGCTGGAGAGATGGCCTAGCGATAAAGGGTACTGGCTGTTCTTCCAAAGGACTGGGGTTCAATTCTCAGAACCCACATGGCATTGCACAGCTGTCTGTGACTCCAATTTCAAAGGATCTGATACCTTCACACCAATGCAAATAAAAAATTTAAAAAAGAACACTAACTAATACAATTTGTAATATATTATGCTACAATACTAGATTATAAGAGTCTAAATTGAAAGAAATGATGTATTGGATGCAAATAAGATTATTTTCTTTTGAGCAAATAAAGAGAACTTTTAAGAGAAATTCTTTTTTGTATTTTCTGCTAGAATTTATTTTTAAAATATTATTAGTTCTTTGAGAATTTTACATTTTGATCGTTTTGACCTACCCAAATCCCCCATGTCAACCCTTACTTCCCTACCCACCCAACTATGTGAATTTCATTTTAAATGCAATTCCAATGTGTGCTACATAGATAATCTTCGATTTATGTTCTTCCACTGGAGTGTGGTTCACTTGCCAGGCTTATACTATTACAGAAAACCAACTCTTTCCCTCTTAGCTGCTATTAGTTGCCAATAGCTCCTCTCCTAGTCCTGAGTGCTAATGCACAGCTCTCCAATCTGTCATGCGATTCAGCCTGGCTTGATTTTATTCAGCTCTTGGGCATGTTGTTACAAGCACTATTAACTCATATGTTCAGAGCCAGGAAGACATTATTTCTTTGCAGTTATCCATTATTTCTGTCTCTTAGACATTTTCTGCCTCTCTTCTGCAATGATGTCTGACCCTTGCAGGGGCATGCAGTATTTATTTTCCATTTAGGGCTGAACATTCAGCAATCTTCAATTCTATACCTTGATCAGTTGTAGATATCTGTGTTAATCACTACCCATTACAAATAAAAGTATTTCTGGTAAATATTGAGATACGTATTATCTATGGAAAGAACAATATGTCAATAAGAGTACATTTACTACTGTGTCCTGTTAGCAGACTACTAATAGTATGTTTTCTTCTAGGAACTATGGTGTGTCTAACCATAGGTTCCTGGCACAATAATGGTGCTGAGAATTGGTTTCATCTTGTTGAGCAGTCCTTAAATTCACTCAGAAAGTAGTTGAGTCCTTTGATGTTTGTGTCTTTTTTTTATTTACTTATTTATTTATTTATAAAAATTTCCACTTTCTCCCCTCCTCCCAATAGCCTCCCATTCCCCCCACTCCCTCTCCTCCTCCCTCTCCAGTCCTAAGAGCAGTCAGGGTTTCCTGCCCTGTGGGAAGTTCAAGGTCCTCCCACCTCCCTCCAGGTCTAGGAAGGTGAGCATCCAAACAGACTAGGATCCCCAAAAGCCAGTACATGCAGACGAAACAAGACTCAGTGCCATTGTCAATGGCTTCTCAGTCAGCCCCATGTCAGCCACATTCAGAGAATTCGGTTTGATCACATACTCGTTCAGTCCCAGTCCAGCTAGCCTTGGTGAACTCTTATTAGATCAGTCCCCATGTATCAGTGGGTGAACGCACTCCTCGCGGTCCTGACATCCTTTTTTATGTTCTCCCTCCTTCTGCTCCTCATTTGGACCTTGGGGGCTCAGTCCAGTGCTCCAATGTGGGTCTCTGTCTCTATCTCCATCCATCGCCAGATGAAGGTTCTATGGTGATATGCAAAATATTCACCAGTGTGGTTATGGACCAAGGCCAGTTCAGGCACCCTCTCCTCTGCTGCCCAGGGAACAATCTGGGGACCTCTCCTTGGGCCTGGGAACCCCTCCAGAATCAAGTATCATGCAAACCCTAAAATGGCTCCCTTAGTTGAGATATGTACCCCCCTGTTCACATAACCATCCTTCCTCCCTCCCTCCCCATCCCATTCCCCCAGGCTATCCCCAATCCTCCCCCTCTCTAAGAGAAATTCTTAACATGAAATCATGTCATATTCCTGGGTTAGAAATTTTTGGAGGTCCGAATCAGTTTTTTGTTGATAATTAACATCTCTTTATTATCAGAAACTTAAATTACTTAGGATATTGGAGTGAGAGGGCCTGCGTTGTATGACAGCAGTGACATATTCGGGAAAAAATGTTGAATCATCTTAATTTTCATATCATCCGCTAAAACTCAAAAATATATAAATCAAGGGTTTAGCAGACAGTGGGGTTTCATTTCTCTTTTTTTGTCCCTAATCCTTAGAAAAGCTTAAAGAGACAAGAGAAAGTGGTTGTTTACAGACTTTAGGAGTTGTGCCAGTGTTTAATCAGAGTAGATGCTCATCACGAATAGGAAAAGGATAAACAGGGATTTCTCAGTAATGAGTAGCAATGCTCTCCTAATTCTTTGCTCAGTGCATTCAAACAACCTTAAACCTGTAAAACTGGGTCTGGTTGTCCTTTTGTAGTCAGTGACAGAGTTCATTGTTTAATGTGACCCTTTACTACTGTTTCTCTAGACGTGACAAAAACGGCTATGAAGAATGACTCTTCAGTGACCGAATTCATTCTCGCAGGATTGACAGACCAACCTGAGCTCCAGCTACCCCTGTTCATCCTGTTTCTGGTGTATCACACAGTCACTGTGGTGGGAAACTTGAGTTTAATGAGTCTCATTTTCCTCAATTCAAACCTGCAGACCCCCATGTACTTTTTTCTCTTTAACTTGTCCTTCATTGACTTATGTTATTCCTTTGTCTTTACTCCCAAAACACTAATGAGTTTTGTTTCAGAGAAGAACACCATCTCCTTTAGTGGATGCATGACTCAGCTGTTTTTCTATTGCTTTTTTGCCCACTCTGAGTGTTATGTGTTGACAGCCATGGCCTATGATCGCTATGTAGCCATCTGTCAACCTCTGTTGTACATGGTCATCATGTCTCCTAGGACATGTTCTCTGATGATGTTTGGCTCATACCTCACAGGGTTTGTTGCTGCCATTGTCCACATAGTATTTATGATCAGACTAAACTTTTGTAATTCTAACATCATCAACCACTACCTGTGTGATATATTTCCCCTTCTGCAGCTCTCCTGCAGCAACATCTATGACACTGAGCTTGTGAGTTCTGTTGTGGCCAGCACAGTAGTCATTGTATCTAGTGTCATCATCTTAATGTCCTATGCTTTGATTCTTTTTAATATCACTCAGTTGTCATCAGGTAAGGGTTTGTACAAAGCCATGAGCACCTGTAGTTCTCACATTATAACTGTGGCCCTATTCTATGGATTTGGTATGCTTACACATATCAAAACATCATCTGATGAGTCTGTGGTTCAGGGGAAAATTCTCAGTGTATTTTGTACATTTTTGCTGCCACTGCTGAACCCTTTTATTTACAGTCTCAGGAATAAGGATGTCAAAGTTGCTTTAAAGACATCTCTAAGGAGACTCAAAGTGAATGAAGCACTCAGAATGTCGTAGTCCACATTCCTAATTTGAGTCTTTTTCTCCACTTTGTTTTGTTCTTTTTTTCAATATTCTCATTTCTTCTTTTCTTTGATATATATATACATATACATACACACACACACACACACACACACACACACACACACACACACACACACATATATATTCTGGCAAGGTTTCCAGATTAATATTTCCTCTCATTCCTTCACAAAAATCCTTGGTTATTTTACCTGGATATAAAATGTATCTAATCTGCAAACTCATTCTGAATGTGCATCAATCTTAACATATTTTGTATTTTAAGAGAACTCGTACTTCTGTGACAAAGGAAAGCCAGGGAGAAGAAAACTTTCTAATAGTTTACTTGTGTTAGTTTTTTCAGAGAGAAAGCTATAGAGCATTTCCAATTTAAGTTTTTTAAATACACTTGTGAATTTCATTCAAACATAGAATGGTTGACTAGATTGTGGCCATGGTAAAGTAGTCAGTTTTTCTAGCAGTATTTATTGTTTTTCAGTATTTTTGCACTTCATCATTACAAAATGGCATTGTGTGTTTTATTGGAGAAATGGTCCATTTTTATAATTATTGAAGACGTAACTAGGCTACTTTGTATTCATAATTGTTAAATGTCATTAACGATGACAGTGATTTTTGTGAAAGTTTGGTTTGTTATAAATACAATGGATTTTTGTCACTGCATTTGAACAATTGATAAGAACTACTTATCTTTAATAAACATACATTAATAATATCCAATGTCTAAAGTTATTATTCACTTTTTTATATATCAATGATAATGTTTTTAAAGAAAAGTCTACTTACTTCTAGATAACAGAAACTATAGATGACATTATACTTCAGTGGTGGAGTACTTATACAAGCTGCTGTTTGATTCTTACCACACATGTACATACACATAATCACATACATTTATGTATATATATTAAGCATATGTTCATATACATGTGATTATAGTACAAATATTGAGTAACAGGTATATATATATAACTTTTTTTTTGCTTATTTCTAAGAACTTCTCCCCCAAAATCATGGAAATCACAAAAAACCCTCCCATCTACCTGAAAGTGTGTGCAATGTGTAATTTTCTTTAATAGAGGGTTAATATAATTATTCTTTTTCTGTTCTCTGTATTTAACTTTTTATGTTATATAGCCAGCAACATAAATCCTTGTTTTAAACCCAATGTGTATCCAATATGGAAACATTTGGAATGAAACAATGAGAATCTTGAAGTGACAGAGAGAGCTAAAAGTTGTTCAGAATGTGTATGAAAAAGGTAGAGAGCATTTGACCACATGTGCAGCCTGATGCATGTTCTTCTGCATGCTTTGAGTGTGTTATGATGACACAACAGTTTCCAGTTTTATGGCAAAAAATTGTTTAGCACCTGAAAGCTGACACTGGCAAATACTCCGTGGCTGCAGAGACATGACACACTTTGCAGGAATTGTCAGAGCCCTGGGGTAAGTGGAAAGCAAGATTGACTCTTTACAACTTTTATGATCCATGTTGTGGTTGATAATTATCTAAGATAACACAGCCTCAGCAACTGTCAACCTCATCCAGTTGATGAATTGCTTATAGCATTGTTTCCCCATATGGTGCTTAGATACAAAATTTTAAGACTTTTTTATGGCTTTGACTTTGGGATGAAGTTCAAAAGTACAAATGTATTCAGATATGTAAAAAGCTACCAACAGTTGCTCCACAGAGATTTCTGCAAAGCAGGAGGGAGGATGAATGGTACAAAGAGATAATTAAGCCTATATTGTTCTATACATGGAGTACAAAAAACACATGTTTTCTATAATCTGTTTAATTATTATCATTATAATAGATCATGGATATTAGAGAAGTTCAAAGTCAGATAAAATATTGAGAAGTTTCCCTCTTTGAGGATCAACCATGTGTGCACCCAATTTCAATTCTGAACTTGAAAGTTGCAGCAATGACTTCTTACTCATTTCGTCTGTTGAGGGTTGTCTTTAGAAATGATGATTTTTTTATCAGAATGGTTATCAGGATGCTTAGCCATGAGATCAACAAGATATATACTTCATGAGAAAACCATAGTTTACTAGGGAGCATCTTTTATGATATATTACCTACTTCATCTCTTCTTTGCATGGAGCTTAATGAAGCACTGGAATTTACAAATGAATGACAGTTTTTGATAGCAAATATTTCCAAAAAATCAGTTAATAACAATTCTGCAGACTCACACAAAAGCATATCTGAATAATAAAATCTGATATGACATATACCTATTACATAATCGATTGGGCACTTTAGATATATGTTAGGGATATTTTTGTTAAAATTAATCTTTCTTGCTTATGTAATTTTTCTGCAGCCTCAATTGAGAAATGATAGATTGCTTCAGCCTGTTTATTTCAGCAACTGCTGTTTTCACAGTCTAACTTAGAATTCATCCAGATAATTACATGTTCTGGAGTCAAATTTGAATTTCTAAATAATTATCATATAGTGTGACCTTAGTAGTAGAAGTGTATGTATGTCTCATGAATGGTTATCATAATCTGTATTTACTTTGAAATACTGTGTTCTACTATGAAAAGGTTAGCGGTGAAAGACCTGGATAAATCTAGATCCCCCTACCAGGAAAAAATAGAGCCAAAAATCTAAGCAGGGAGGGAAAAATCAGAAATCTAGGATTAGCTGGTTCAGTGTTTCAGGAACTAGCTGAAGATAAACTTAGATTGTAAACTTGAGAATAATCTTGAGAAACAGGGAGTTTCCCCTTGGGATTATCATTGGTATTTTGGGGGTACTGTGTTTCAGGAACTAGCTGATTATAATCTTGAGAATAACTTTGAGGAACAGGGAGTTGCCCACTTGTGATCAGCACTGGACCTCCCTACCCCCTTAGGATTACTGGGCTGTGGTTTCTTCCCTTAAAAACCCCTTCTCCCAGCTACTCAGGATCGAACTCTTCCCCTGGGTGGGTTCTGAGTCTCGGCCCCAGTGCACTGGTTCCCATCTTCCCGTTTATTAAACCTGATGTGATTGCAGCAAGGATGGTCTCTCGTGAGTTACTGGCGGGGATGGGGGGTGGCGGGGTTGCGTTATCCCGAGACTTGAGTGAGAGTCTCACCATATCGGGGTCTTTCATTGGAATTCAGTGAACCCCAATGCCTGTAGCTTTTTAAACAGTACTTGGAGGTAGACATATTGATATACTAGCTCTTTTCTTTTGACCTTCTGATATTAATTCATCCTTTTGGAGAATTGATCTGTAATCTTGGAAATTAACCTCATGTTGTAATTTGTCTTCCTGAATACTATTTATTGGAAGGATCATTTGTTTTGTAAATTTAAATTAGCTTGAACATTTGAGCAAAATTTTATATGTAAACAAGCAAAAAAATAAACAAAAGTCCCATTGTTCTATTACTTAAGCCCTCAAGACTATGAAAATGTGCAATAATGGGTGCCCTTGTATATAAAAGCTATCATTCTTCAACTTTATATATTTGCAGCATGGAACTGAGTAGTACAGAAAGCCCTGAAATTAAATCGCAAGCATAATCAGCTCACGTTAACTCTACCTGTTCCTTATTCCTTTGGGTGAAGAAGCAGAGAGAAGGAGAAAATGGGGGGTGATCTCCACAAGGTTTTTAGTTTTTACAGACATGATTGAAAATTCCATAGGCCAAGACAATGATGATAGGGATTTCAGAATCACAAAAAGGGCAGGAAGAACCCGACAAAGCAGAACTCCAGGAATTGGGTGACACCACCCTGGATAGTCCAACATCTAAGGGAAAATACCCAACATTCCAAACCACTAGACAAAGTACTAAACAACTCTTAATCCTGGATTCACCCACTCTCAGATGAGCCTCTCTGGTGAGGGTGGTGTTTCCTATCCTTTTGAAATTCCTAGTGGGCTGTTAGGAAGGGTAATTTTGGGGGATTGAAACAGAGTGAAGGTTATCACTCCAAGACCTCCTGGAAGGTCATTCCGTTGCCTGTGAGGAAAGGTTATACTGCTGAGGTATTTAGGAAATGAATCTCATTTTGAAAGAAAGAATCAGTCAGGAAGTGGTGGTGCATGCCTTTAATCCCACCACTCAGGAGGCAGAGGCAGGTGGATCTCTCTGAGTTCGAGGCCAGCCTGGTCTACAAGAGCTAGTTCCAGGACAGGCTCCAGAGCCACAAAGAAACCTTATCTTAAAAAAAAAAAACCCAAAATAAATAAATAAATAAATAAAAAAGAAATAAAGAAAGAATCATGGATTCACAAGGGTTTTACAGATTTGACAACTTTTCCAAAATGCAAGTGTTTCCACAGCTCTGCTGAATGGGTTCTCCATATGAAGTGTACATATATACCTCCCATGGTTTAGTTTAATAGATCTTTCAGCTATATATTTACTGTATAGTCTTGTGGGCTCCAACAAGGTTTATTAGGGAAAATATTCTTTTGTCTCCTTAGATTTTTAACAATGAGAATTCTTCTGGAAACAACTCCTTCACGACCAAGTTTGTTCTAGATGGATTTGCAGATTTTCCAGAGCTCCAGCTGCCATGTTCCTAAGGATCTACATTGTCACAGTGGTGGAACACTGGGCTGGTCACCCTGAGTGATCTCAATCCTCATTTGCACACCCACTTCTACAATTTCCTTTTCAGCCTCTCCTTCATTGATCTCTGCTATCCTTCTCTCTCCAGTTTCGAAGTAATGATAAATTATATCTCTGAGAAGAATGAAAGTTCCTATTTGGGGTCCATGACTCAGATTTTTCTTTAGCTCTTTCTGGTCATATTTGAATGCTACATGTAGACTTCAATGACTTATGAATACTCTGTTGCTATGTATCTTTTTCTTGTATGAATAAAACTATTATTGGTTTATCTTTGCTCTTACAACTAATATATAATTAAATACACTTATTTCTATCACTACTAGTTGTAAATAATGTTAACGTTTAGTTTGTCACTTGTACTTCAGCCTTAGGCAGTCC